GGCTGCAACTAACGATCACTTTTATTATCGACTAATCTGCCAGTTATTTTCTCAATTAACAGTCCCATTACGTACCTAAAGCTATTCAGTTTACTATCACAAGACAAAGTAAAGCTGCAATGCCTCACGTTTGAGAAACTGCAGCTAAAGACTTTTTGGTATTTTCTTAATTAAATAACTTCAATCAATTATAAAAATAGTCGTCGATAAACAGACTGTCTTTCGATCGACTAATTGAATCATTGACTGATTTATGGCTGAATCGCTCCTACCGCCTCAGATGTCACTTACATTTTAGAGATGGAAAGCCAAGTGCATATTTATAGTGCACTTGTACTAACCTGCAGAAAGACACTAAACAAATCCCCAAACATACAAAGCCGTGGGAAAGAAAAAGGCCTACTCCCATTCTGTGTGCTAAAGTGAACTAGTGTCACTAATGTAACATTTAGAGACACTAGAACAATATGCTCCAAGGTAGATTCCTCTCAATAGTGTGGAGACCCCCAGTTTAAAAATATTTGTTGACATGAAAAATGAATAGCACCAGCCTTATAATTAAACCCTCTGATATCTGCACTACATTTGAATGAAAGGTTAATGAACAGCATGTTTACCAGTTTACATCACTTTGTCTCATAAATCCTACATTTTAAACAAAACTCTTGTTGTCTTTCCAGCTTCCTCTCCGTCTGTGCTTTATTACTGGCATCCTTTTTGTGTGTGTGTGTGCTGAAGCTGTGTGTTTGTGTTGCTCTGCAGGTGATGGCTGTGGCCCCAGTGTACTTGGCCCCAGTAGTGGGACTCTGTCCTCTCTGGGTTACCCGGGGACGTACCCCAACAACACGGTGTGTGAGTGGGAAATCAGCGTGCCCCGAGGCAACAGGATCCATTTTCGTTTTGCTGAGCTGGACATAGAAGACAGCGACTGCCAGGTCAACTACCTCCGCCTCTACAACGGCATTGGACCCGAGAGGAGTGAGATTGGTGAGAGTGACAAGCAGATACTAGACTGGACTTGGACTGATTTAGTTCTTACCAAAAATGAAAATGTTTAGACACATCAGACTACCCAGCGTACACAGCGAGGACGTTCTTCTACTATTGCACCACAACTTCTCTTTGTGCTGTCAGATAGCTTCGTAAACCCCCTCCCCCCCACACCTTTCCGACTTTAGAAGAGGGTCGTGGCCGTGCCCGAACTTTTCTGTAATTTTTAAAAACAGACATTCACACACATCATGTTGTGATTGGACGAGCTGCCAGGAAGTGAGAACAGAGCCAGGGTTTGAATTCTCTCTCTTTTTTAAAGTCCCTTTTCATGTGAACAATCGAGAACAATCAAAGCCCAACAGGAGACACTTTTTGAAAATGTGTGCTACCGCCATATTAAAACAATACCACCTTTACCCCCACTGTGATGACTGGCTTTTCACGCCTCCTTCGAATGTGGCCGTTCAGAACAACTATAAAGGCATTTGCCTTCCGACGAGGTCAGACAAACATGTATGACAAAAACCTGGCTCTTGGCTCTCTCCCAATCTGTGTGCATGTCATCAGTTCCCCCGCTGTCTATGTTTATATGCCCAGAAGAAATCAGGTTATGTCAGGAAACTGGAGAACATATTAACATTTGCTGCAGGAACCTTTCCTGTGAAACCTGCATTACATAGAGCTGGATACCAGGTTACTCAAGTTCTTGTTAATGCAGCGACTGACAATGCATCGGTCCCATGATAAGCCTACAGTCACAGTTGGTCTCATGCTGTGCTGCCGGCACACTTCCAAAGAGAGTCGCCGGTGATGGAAATTAAGCTAGATATTAGACCTATAGATGCACAGATTAATACAAAACAAGCTGTAGATGATGAATAGTCATAGGTATGTTTTTACTGCTATCTACAGTAGCCCAGAATGGACAAACCAAACACTGGCTCTTGATGGGGCCTTTTGCAAATTTCATGGCCACTGTAGTTTCTCCTTCGTGTTTGGTTGAGTTAAAGGACAATTCCGGCGCAAAATGAACCTGGGGTTAATAACACATGTGTACCGAGTTGGTC